ATACATTTGCCAAGTCAAGCATGACCAGAAAGAGAGGGAATGAGAAGAACAGAGAGGGGGAGATATAGAATAGAGGGATGAGTTCAAAGATGGAGAAAAATAGCTGTAAGGAGTTGAGGATATCTGGGAGGAGGTGGGAAATACCTGGGGTGTATTCACTAGCAACCAAACAGAACCAAACATAAACAAAAGGATGCAAACAGAAAGAAACAGGGAGAGACCTAGCTGAATTTGTCAAAAAAAAAACTATTGTTTTCGTTGCAAAACGCTTTCCATTTGGAGTAAACGGTTTCTGTTGCAAAAAGTTTTGCTACGGTCTGCGACTACTAAATGCACCCCAGATAAGAAACTCCAACAGTGAGTTCCAGTTACAGCTGACAGACTGCAGAGTTCAACAGCATCCCATGTATCATCAATGAAGTACTGTCCCCACCTGGTGGGCAATAGAGGTTATTAGAAAAACAAGAAAATCCAACTTTTGGTCATAAAAATAATTCATATACACAAAATCAACACACACACACACACACATGACCTCAGATCAATTTAGATGAACCATATAACTGTAATAGTGGTGATGAGAAGATAAGACAGGAGGCGGTAGAACAGGGCCTGTATAATAAACCTCAATAGGTGGATTTATGCTGTGATAGCAATAGGGTGAGGAGAGATAGGCAAAATAACATCTTATCTCTCTCAGCACGCAGTGTGTGTGTTCGCTCTTTATCACGGTAGGTAGGAAGTGTGATTGCACATAGTCAGTTGAAGAGTAGGAAGCTACAGGACAGTCTGTCAGTCTGTAGTGCAGGTACTCAGAGTAGTGAGCTAGAGGTTAGAGTCAGACGGCTTAGAGTTGGGAGTTTTGCTTGGACTCTGGTGCGACTCCAAAGTGTTTTGGACATTTTACATTTTACATTTACGTCATTTAGCAGACGCTCTTATCCAGAGCGACTTACAAATTGGTGCATTCACCTTATGATAGCCAGTGGGACAACCACTTTAAAATGTATTTATTTTTATTTTTCAAATGTTTTAATTTTTAATTTTTAGAGTATATTTTTAATTTTCATTTGTTTTATATATATATATATATATATATATATATATATATATATATATACACACAGTGAGGGGAAAAAAGTATTTGATCCCCTGCTGATTTTGTATGTTTGCCCACTGACAAAGAAATGATCAGTCTATAATTTTAATGGTAGGTTTATTTGAACAGTGAGAGGCATAATAACAACAAAATAATCCAGAAAAATGCATGTCAAAAATGTTATAAATTGATTTGCATTTTAATGAGGGAAATAAGTATTTGACCCCTCTGCAAAACATTACTTAGTACTTGGTGGCAAAACCCTTGTTGGCAATCACAGAGGTCAGACGTTTCTTGTAGTTGGCCACCAGGTTTTCACACATCTCAGGAAGGATTTTGTCCCACTCCTCTTTGCAGATCTTCTCCAAGTCATTAAGGTTTCAAGGCTGACGTTTGGCAACTCGAACCTTCAGCTCCCTCCACAGATTTTCTATGGGATTAAGGTCTGGAGACTGGCTAGGCCACTCCAGGACCTTAATGTGCTTCTTCTTGAGCCACTCCTTTGTTGCCTTGGCTGTGTGTTTTGGGTCATTGTCATGCTAGAATACCCATCCACGACCCATTTTCAATGCCCTGGCTGAGAGAAGGAGGTTCTCACCCAAGATTTGATGGTACATGGCCCCGTCCATCGTCCCTTTGATGCGGTGAAGTTGTCCTGTCCCCTTAGCAGAAAAACACCCCCAAAGCATAATGTTTCCACCTCCATGTTTGACGGTGGGGATGGTGTTCTTGAGGTCATAGGCAGCATTCCTCCTCCTCCAAACACGGCGAATTGAGTTGATGCCAAAGAACTTGATTCTGGTCTCATCTGACCACAACACTTTCACCCAGTTCTCCTCTGAATCATTCAGATATTCATTGGCAAACTTCAGACGGGCCTGTATATGTGCTTTCCTGAGCAGGGGGACATTGCGGGCGCTGCAGGATTTCAGTCCTTCACGGCGTAGTGTGTTACCAATTGTTTTCTTGGTGACTATGGTCCCAGCTACCTTGAGATCATTGACAAGATCCTCCCGTGTAGTTCAGGGCTGATTCCTCACCGTTCTCATAATCATTGCAACTCCACAAGGTGAGATCTTGCATGGAGCCCCAGGCCGAGGGAGATTGCAGTTATTTTGTGTTTCTTCCATTTGCGAATAATCGCACCAACTGTTGTCACCTTCTCACCAAGCTGCTTGGTGATGGTCTTGTAGCCCATTCCAGCCTTGTGTAGGTCTAAAATCTTGTCCCTGACATCCTTGGAGAGCTCTTTGGTCTTGGCCATGGTGGAGAGTTTGGAATCTGATTGATTGATTGCTTCTGTGGACAGGTGTCTTTTATACAGGTAACAAACTGATATTAGGAGCACTCCCTTTAAGAGTGTGCTTCTAATCTCAGCTCGTTACCTGCATAAAAGACACCTGGGAGCCAGAAATCTTTCTGATTGAGAGGGGGTCAAATATTTATTTCCCTCATAATAAATGCAAATAAATTTATAACATTTTTGACATGCGTTTTTCTGGATTTTTTTGTTGTTATTCTGTCTCTCACTGTTCAAATAAACCTACCATTAAAATTATAGACTGATCATTTCTTTGTCAGTGGGCAAACGTACAAAATCAGCAGGGGATCAAATACTTTTTTCCCTCACTGTATATATATATATATAAAAAATATATATATATTTGTTTGTTTATGTTTTTTGTGGGGGTGGGGTAGGGGGGGGTAGAAGGATTACTTTTATACTATCCCAGGTATTCCTTAAAGAGGTAGGGTTTCAGGTATTCCTTAAAGAGGTAGGGTTTCAAGTGTCTCCGGAAGGTGGTCAGTGACTCCGCTGTCCTGGCATCATGAGGGAGCTTGTTCCACCATTGGGGTGCCAGAGCAGCGAAAAGTTTTGACTGGGCTGAGCGGGAACTGTGCTTCCGCAGAGGTAGGGGGACCAGCAGGCCAGAGGTGGAAGAACGCAATGCCCTCGTTTGGGTGTAGGGACTGATCAGAGCCTGAAGGTAAGGAGGTGACGTTCCCCTCACAGCTCCATAGGCAAGCACCATGGTTTTGTAGCAGATGCAAGCTTCAACTGGAAGCCAGTGGAGTGTGCGGAGGAGCGGGGTGACGTGAGAGAACTTGGGAAGGTTGAACACCAGATGGGCTGCAGCATTCTGGATGAGTTGTTGTAAGGGTTTAATGGCACAGGCAGGGAGCCCAGCCAACAGTGAGTTGCAGTAATCCAGATGGGACATGACAAGTGCCTGGATTAGGACCTGTGCCGCTTCCTGCGTAAGGTAGGGTCGTACTCTGCAAATGTTGTAGAGCATGAACCTACAGGATCGGGTCACCGCTTTAATGTTAGCGGAGAACGTCAGGGTGTTGTCCAGGGTCACGCCAAGGTTCTTTGCACTCTGGGAGGAGGACACAACGGAATTGTCAACCGTGATGGCGAGATTATGGAGCGGGCAGTCCTTCCCGAAGAGCAGCTCCGTCTTGCCGAGGTTCAGCTTGAGGTGGTGATCCGACATCCACACTGATATGTCTGCCAGACATGCAGAGATGCGATTCCCCACCTGGTTATCAGAAGGGGGGAAAGGAGAAGATTAATTTTGTGTCGTCTGCGTAGCAATGATAGGAGAGACCATATGAGGATATGACAGAGCCAAGTGACTTGGTGTATAGAGAGAATAGGAGAGGGCCTAGAACTGAGCCCTGGGGGACACCAGCGGTGAGAGCACGTGGTGTGGAGACAGATTCTCGCCACGCCACCTGGTAGGAGCGACCTGTCAGGTAGGACGCAATCGAAGAGTGAGCCGCGCCGGAGATGCCCAACTCGGAGAGGGTGGAGAGGAGGATCTGATGGTTCACAGTATCAAATGCAGCAGATAGGTCTAGAAGGATGAGAGCAGAGGAGAGAGAGTTAGCTTTAGCAGTGCGGAGAGCCTCCGTGACACAGAGAAGAGCAGTCTCAGTTGAAAGACCAGTCTTGAAACCTGACTGGTTTGGATCAAGAAGGTCATTCTGAGAGAGATAGCAGGAGATTTGGCTATAGACAGCACGCTCAAGAGTTTTGGAGAGAAAAGAAAGAAGGGATACTGGTCTGTAGTTGTTGACATTGGAGGAATCGAGTGTAGGTTTTTTGAGGAGGGGTGCAACTCTCGCTCTCTTGAAGATGGAAGGGACATAGCCAGCGGACAAGGAATTAGTTGATGAGCGAGGTGAGGTAAGGGAGAAGGTCTCCGGAAATGGTCTGGAGAAGAGAGAAGGGGATAGGGTCAAGCGGGCAGGTTGTTGGGCGGCCGGCCGTCACAAGTCGCAAGATTTCATCTGGAGAGAGAGGGGAGAAAGAAGTCAAAGCATAGGGTAGGGCAGTGTGAGCAGGACCAGGGGTGTCATTTGACTTAATAAATGAGGATCGGATGTCGTCAACCTTCTTTTCAAAATGGTTGACAAAGTCATCCACAGAGAGGGAGGAGGGAGGGGGAGGAGGAGGAGGATTCAGCAGGGAGGAGAAGGTGGCAAAGAGGCTTGGAATTTAGAGTGGTAGAAAGTGGCTTTAGCAGCAGAAATGGAGGAAGAGAATGTAGAGAGGAGGGAGTGGAAAGATGACAGGTCCACAGGGAGTCTAGTTTTCCTCCATTTCCGCTCGGCTGCCCGGAGCCCTGTTCTGTGAGCTCGCAATGAATCGTCAAGCCACGGAGCAGGAGGGGAGGACCGAGCCGGCCGGGAGGATAGGGGACATAGAGAGTCAAAAGATTCAGAGAGGGAGGAGAGGAGGGTTGAGGAGGCAGAATCAGGAGATTGGAGGGAGAAGGATTTAGCAGAGAGAAGAGATGATAGGCTGGAAGAGGAGAGAGTAGTGGGAGATATTACATATTGTGGGACATATCACCATTGACTGTGATCATGAGGTGACCGTGAAGCACAAGTCATGCTGCTAAGGCTGGATCTCCTCAGCCTACTGGCCCTCTCTCCCTCTCTGGCTGCCCCACACCGAGGCTCCCTTCCTGGAGTGGATTCTCCCCACAGTGGGCCCCGCGCCAGGAGCTCCAGAAACAACAAGCTGCTGCTCATCTCGTTCGATGGGTTCCGATGGGACTATGACAGGGACGTGGACACCCCTCACCTGGACACGATGGGCCGGGGCGGGGTCAATGCTGCCTATGTCACACCCCCCTACCTCACCATCACCAGCCCCACACACTTCACCCTGCTCACAGGTAAGCTATTGCTACACACATGCACAACTGTTACACACACTGCTAACTTACATAACCAACTTCACCCTAATCACAGAACAACACGTATTGCTTCTAAAGAGTGTAGCCTACTGCCAGTGCCACACGCAATACAACGCACACAGACATTATAGTCCACCATTGATTTGTACCTTCTAAAAAAAAATATGCACACCTGGCCTTATACAAATCACTGGTTTTTCCCATTCATTCGTAAAAAGTATTCAATCTGTAATTTGAGCAAATAAGGAGAACAATGCTGGCGTAACAGTTTAGCCACAATCAAAAGTCTACTATCAAAATTGGAAACAATGTTTAATTTTTAAGATTTACCGACAGGACGAAATACAACGCTTCTACATGGAGCATGCGCATGCACCGTTGAGACCCGCAAGCAACTTCTTCACAAGCCTGGGGTGTATTCATTACGTAAACCGTTTACCGTTTAAGAACCAAATAGAAGCCAACAGAGCTAAACAAGAGTTTCTATTGGACAAATTCATGTTTTGTTCTGTTTGCTTTCGTTTAAGAAAAGTTTTGTAACAGAATCAACTGATTGAATACACCCCAGGCGTGAGAAGCAGGGAGGAAGGGTGGCAACATGTAACACTGGGCTTTACAATTGCTTGTAACCACTGTCTGCAACAATGTATCAACATAGACGTCCAAAAGTAACTCCCTGATGAAAACGTTTTGGTGTAAAAAGTCTTAACAGTTGTTTGACTTGTGGATTGTTCTACTACAGGTGATAGCCCTGAAAGAAACACACAGTGAAGCATTGTCTATAGCCTAAGTAGGACAGTAGCTAATTAGGCCAGTCTACCCAAATCACCTAAACATAAACATACAATTATTTTCTAAGGCAAAACCAATTGCTGAATGGCTTCTTATTCGGGTCAAATAGGCCTTGTGGCGATGTGCCTGTGAACTGTTTTCCTCCGTATCTACCCACAAGCAAATTGTTTGCTACAAATCATTAAGTATATAAAACATTAAGAACACCTGCTCTTTCCATGACATAGACTGACCAGGTGAATTCAGGTGAAAGCTATGATCCCTTATTGATGTCACTTGTTAAATCCACTTCAATCAGTGTATCTGAAGGGGAGGAGACAGGTTAAATAAGGATTTTGAAGCGTTGAAACAATTGAGACTTGGATTGTGTAGGTGTGCATTGAGGGTGAATGGGCAAGACAAAAGTGCCTTATAACGGGGTATGGTAGTAGGTGCCAGGCGCACCGGTTTGTGTCAAGAACTGCAACGCTACTGGGTTTATCACGCTCAACAGTTTCCTGTGTGTATCAAGAATGGTCCACCACCCAAAGGACATCCAGCCAACTTGACACAACTGTGGGAAGCATTGGAGTCAACATGGGCCAGCATCAATGGTCCCTCTCTAAGCTGTGCGCGTGCACGGGTGCCAGCTCCCCTCTGACTGCTGCTCAGAAGAAATATGAGCCTGTGCAGAGAAGCATGAGATTGAACTTCACTCAACTTTCTACAGTTTTCCCCTTTAGTTAACACTATAAACCTTTCGCTCTACTGTGGGAATTTTGATCGAATCAATGAAATATTAGCCACTTTCAATGAGGATATACCGAAACAAAACAAACTATGCAAGATTTGGTATGCAAAACTAACTGTGCAAGAGATTTTCTTGTAGGCAGAGCGCATTGGATTCTATTGCACTGACAGGCATGACTCAGGCTGGTACCCTGCATTGGAATAGGATTCTATTGCATTGACAGGCATGACTCAGGCTGGTACTCTGCATTGGAGTAGGATTCTATTGCATTGACAGGCACGACTCAGGCTGGTACTCTGCATTGGAGTAGGATTCTATTGCACTGACAGGCATGACTCAAGCTGGTACCCTACAGTCCCCTGTAGCTCAGTTGGTAGAGCATGGCACTTGCAACGCCAGAGTTGTGGGTTTGTTTCCCACGGGGCCCAGTATGAAAATGTATGCACTCACTAACTGTAAGTCGCTCTGGATAAGAGTGTCTGCTAAATGACTAAAATGGAAATGTACCCTGCATTGGAATAGGATTCTATTGCATTGACAGGCATGACTCATGCTGGTACACTACACAGAGCAAAACTCTACACAGACCAGTGCGCCATAACCAATCAGAGCTGCAGTAGGCCTATATGCAAACAGCCATTGCCATATATGGATCTGTGCCATTCACTTTGAACTGGACTGTGTTTAGGCTACAGTATGAGTGGTCACGAGTAGATGCGCTTGTTTTGAGATCAAAGTGAGAGCTGCATGTAGCCACGTGTGCACATTTCCTCATATTCTTTGCTAGTTAGTGATTTATTAGCCCAGTTATAGCTAATTTCTAGTCAATAATGGGGGAGTGGTTGCTTCCAACAAGAGCACAAAATGTGTGCATTCCAAGCCATCTTTGAAAAGCGAGTCAGGTAAAGAGCTTTTTTATGTCTTCAAGGGGAATTTGTTGTATTTTAAGACGGTCTTGAATAAGCTAAGTAGCCAATAGAGTTGCATAATTTGCCTGATTCTCTGTAATAATGGTATGGGAATAATAATGAATTCTATTTTGTACAGTGATTACTTGCATCAAACACAACATTTTCAGTCACCTCCATGTCTGAAGGACAAGTGGATACACAGGTTAATGTCAAGCCCTGCATGTTTTTGTTTTCAAGTCTCATGGAATGTTAGCATTGAACACCACACATTGGCTGCTACTGTTGGTTGAATGATAGAACAGCTATTTCCATGTTAACATGTTATGTGATGCTTTTTTCTCCATTGTTTTTGATAGTAGGCCCCTCTGGTAGGCCTACATTATGATCAAATAGCCATAGTAGCCTACTTGTAATTTAAGGTGGGTAGCCTCAGTGTTCACAGAATTTTCACAATGTTCAAGTTTACACTCAGCAGACCTGAAATGTACTTTGTGCCCAAACAAATTTGAGGGAACATTGGCAAGCATGCCTGTGGAATGCTTTCGACACCTTGTAGAGTCCATTCCCCAACAAAGGCTGTTCTGAGGGCAAAAGGGGGTGTGCAACTCAATATTAGGAAGGTGTTCCTAATATTTGGTATACCCAGTGTATAATATCGCTAAAGCAAGTTAACAGGCATGAGAGTACGACCCTGCCTTACACAGGAAGCGGCACAGGTCCTTATCCAGGCACTTGTCATCTCCCGTCTGGATTACTGCAACTCGCTGTTGGCTGGGCTCCCTGCCTGTGCCATTAAACCCCTACAACTCATCCAGAATGCCGCAGCCCGTCTGGTGTTCAACCTTCCCAAGTTCTCTCACGTCACCCCGCTCCTCCGCACACTCCACTGGCTTCCAGTTGAAGCTCGCATCTGCTACAAGACCATGGTGCTTGCCTACGGAGCTGTGAGGGGAACGGCACCTCCGTACCTTCGGGCTCTGATCAGTCCCTACACCCAAACGAGGGCACTGCGTTCATCCATCTCTGGCCTGCTGGCTCCCCTACCTCTGCGGAAGCATAGTTCCCGCTCAGCCCAGTCAAAACTGTTCGCTGCTCTGGCACCCCAATGGTGGAACAAGCTCCCTCACGACGCCAGGACAGCGGAGTCACTCACCACCTTCCGGAGACATTTGAAACCCCACCTCTTTAAGGAATAACTGGGATAGGATAAAGTAATCCTTCTACCCTTCTCCTTCTACATCCGCACTGAGCTAAAGGGTAGAGCTGCCGCTTTCAAGGAGCGGGACTCTAACCCGGACACTTATAAGAAATCCCGCTATGCCCTCTGACGAACCATCAAACAGGCAAAGAGTCAATGCAGGACTAAGATTGAATCGTACTACACCGGCTCTGACGCTCGTCGGATGTGGCAGGGCTTGAAAACTATTACAGACTACAAAGGGAAACACAGCCGCGAGCTGCCCAGTGACACAATACTTCCAGACGAGCTAAACCACTTCTATGCTCGCTTCGAGGCAAGCAACACTGAAGCATGCATGAGAGCACCAGCTGTTCCGGATGACTATGTGATCACGCTCTCCGTAGCCGATGTGAGTAAGACTTTTAAGCAGGTCAACATTCACAAGGCCGCAGGGCCAGACGGATTACCAGGACGTGTACTCCGAGCATGTGCTGACCAACTGGCAAGTGTCTTCACTGACATTTTCAACATGTCCCTGACAGAGGGTCAGAGACCTGGCCGTGTGGTGCCAGGATAACAACCTCTCCCTCAACGTGACCAAGACAATGGAGATGATTGTGGACTACAGGAAAAAAAAGAGGACTGAGCACGCCCCCATTCTCATCGACGGGGCTGTAGTGGAACAGGTTGAGAGCTTTAAGTTCCTTGGTGTCCACATCACCAACAAACTATCATGGTCCAAACACACCAAGACAGTCGTGAAGAGGGCACGACAAAGCCTATTCCCCCTCAGGAGACTGAAAAGATTTGGCATGGGTCCTCAGATCCTCAAAAAATTCTACAGCTGCACCATCGAGAGCATCCTGACTGGTTGCATCACCGCCTGGTATGGCAACTGCTTGGCCTCCGACCGCAAGGCACTACAGAGGGTAGTGCGTACGGCCCAGTACATCACTGGGACCAAGCTTCCTGCCATCCAGGACCTCTATACCAGGCGGTGTCAGAGGAAGGCCCTCAAAATTGTCAACGACTCCAGCCACCCTAGTCATAGACTGTTCTCTCTGCTACCGCACGGCAAGCAGTACCGGAGTGCCAAGTCTAGGTCCAAAAGACTTCTCAACAGCTTCTACCCCCAAGCCATAAGACTCCTGAACAGCTAATCATGGCTACCCGGACTATTTGCACTGCCCCCCCACCCCCACCCCCCACCCCATCTTTTTACGCTGCTGCTACTCTGTTAATTATTTATGCGTAGTCACTTTAACTCTACCCACATGTACATATTACTTCAACTACCTCAACTAGCCGGTGCCCCCGCACTTTGACTCTGCACCGGTACCCCCCTGTATATATAGCCTCCCTACTGTTATTTTATTTTACTTCTGCTCTTTTTTTCTCAACACTTTTTTGTTGTTTTATTTTACTTTTTTATAAAAAATTGGCACTGTTGGTTAAGGGCTGTAAGTAAGCATTTCACTGTAATGTCTGCAGCTGTTGTATTCGGCGCATGTGGCCAATAAAATTTGATTTGATTTGATGGAGGGTCTGAAGGCGGGCTCACTCCACTTCCCCGGCACAGCCGCCGCCACCAAAGGTGAGAGAGTAAAGGTCAGCCAGGTGGAACCTCCTTTCTATGAGCACAACAATGAGACGGACTGGAGGATCAACATCGACAAGGTGATTGGTCAGTGGTTCTCCGAGGAGGACCTGGACTTTGTGTCTTTGTACTTCGGTGAACCAGATACAACGGGACACAAGTATGGACCAGATTCCCCGGAGCGCAGGGAGATGGTCCGACAAGTGGACCGGACTGTGGGATACATCCGTGATACCACCGGAATCACGGCCTCTCCGATCGGCTCAACATCATCATCACTGCTGATCACGGAATTACCACGATGCTCCGGAATGGCCTGGTCGACGAGATCATCCTGTCCGAGATTCCGGGATTTGACTTCCGGGATATCAAGTTCCAACTGGTGGATTATGGACCAACAGGAATGCTTCTTCCCAGAGAGGGAATGCTGGAGAAGGTGTACCAGGCCCTGAAAAGGGGCCACGCTCACCTGCACGTATATAGGAAGGAGGATATGCCTGGTAGGCTTCACTATAGTAACCACCCTCGCCTCCTGCCCCTGATTCTCTTCGCTGATCAAGGATACATTTTACATTTACATTTTAGTCATTTAGCAGACGCTCTTATCCAGAGCGACTTAAGGTTAGTGATTGCATACATTTTCATACTGGTGGTTACTATAGATACGTCATCAATGGGGTGAGTGTGCCGAAACAGTGTCCTAACAGTACTACATTGTTATTCTTTATTCACGCTGCTCAGGAGACGGGCATACATTTTCCTCATCAGGTCATGTGGTCAGAACAAACTCTCTTCATACCGTCTTGATGGCATGCATTGAAGTTCTGTTACCAAAAACTTTGCAGTTTATAATTTATTTACAATGTGCAGAACAACATAGGATACTCAAAACGTGAATGCTACTTGGACAGAATTATAAACATTTCCTTTTCCCCATTACGTGGGTTTAACAATGGAATTATATTACTCTTTTAGACTTTTGGCTTCATAATAGAGAAAGATATTTTGATCACATGAAAGTGAGTCTTTATTTGTCATCAACTGTTAACAGTTTAATAATCAATGTTCAACAACACAAAGTTTAATTGTTGAGGAAATTAATTTACGCTTGACCAAGGACAGAATCATAAACTGTCTTTTTCTTACACCACATTGCTCAAGTTTACCCAAGGAATTATATGACCCTTATCTCATGTTGTTGAACCTTTGCCTTTATAGAGAAACGTGCTTTGAATACATCAGGACATCAATAAGATCTACCAAAATGCCTATCCCATGATAACAATCTGGCCAATGCTAGTTCTAAGCCTTGAACCCGTGCAGATTTACAGTACCAGTCAAAAGTTTGGACACACCTACTCATTAAATTAGTTATTTAGCAGATGCTCTTATCCAGAGCAACGTATAGGAGCAATTAGGGTTAAGTGCCTTCCTAAGGGCACATCAACAGATTTTTCACCTAGTCGGCTCGGGGATTAGAACCAGTGACCTTTCGGTTACTGGTACAACGCTCTTAACCACTAAGCTACCTGCCACCCCAATTCCAGGGTTTTTCTTTATTTTTACTATTTTCTACATTGTAGAATAATAGTGAAGAAATCAAAACTATGAAATAACACATATGGAATCATGTAGTAACCAAAAAAGTGTTAAACAAATCAAAATATATTTTATATTTGAGATTCTTCAAATAGCCACCGTTTGCCTTGATGACTGCTTTGCACACTCTTGGCATTCTCTCAACCAGCTTCATGAGGTAGTCACCTGGAATGCATTTCAATAAACAGGTGTGCCATCTTAAAAGTTAATCTGTGGAATTTATTTCCTTCTTAATGCGTTTGAGCCAATCAGTTGTGTTGTGACAAGGTAGGGGGGATATACACAGAAGATAGCCCTATTTGGTAAAATACCAAGTCCATATTATGGCAAGAACAGCTCAAATAAGCAAAGAGAAACGACAGTCCATCATTACTTTAAGACATGAAGGTCAGTCAATACGGAATATTTCAAGAACTTTGAACGTTTCTTCAAGTGCAGTCGCAAAAACCATCAAGCGCTATGATGAAACTGGCTCTCATGAGGACCGCCACAGGAATGGAAGACCCAGAGTTACCTCTGCTGCAGAGGATAAGTTCATTAGAGTTACCAGCCTCAGAAATTGCAGCCCAAGTAAATGCTTCACAGAGTTCAAGTAACAGACACATCTTAACATAAACTGTTCAGATGGGACTGTGTGAATCAGGCCTTAATTGTTGAAGTGCTGCAAAGAAACCACTACTAAAGGATACCAATAATAAGAAGAGACCTGCTTGGACCAAGAAACACAAGCAATGGACATTAGACCGGTGGAAATGTGTCCTTTGGTCTGGAGTCCAAATTTGAGATTTTTGGTTCCAACCGCCATTTCTTTGTGAGACGCGGTGTGGGTGAACGGATGATCTCCGCATGTGTAGTTCCCACTGTAAAGCATGGAGGAGGAGGTGTTATGGTGTGTGGGTGCTTTGCTGGTGACATTGTCTGTTATTTATTTAGAATTCAGGCACACTTAACCTTCATGGCTACCCCAGCATTCTGCAGAGATACGCAATCCTATCTGGTTTGCACATAGTGGAACTATCATTTGTTCAAGAACAAACCTTGAACGTTTTTCCTATTTTGTTGCATTTATAACCTGTAATTTAAATGGATTTATATTTGTATTTCATGTAATGGACATACACAAAATAGTCCAAATTGGTGAAGTGAAATGAAAAAAATAACTTGTTTCAAAAAATTCAAAATAATACATAACGGAAAAGTGGTGTGTGCATATGTATTCACCCCTTTTGCTATGAAGACCCTAAATAAGATCTGGTGCAACCAATTACCTTCAGAAGTCACATAATTAGTTAAATAAAGTCCACATGTGTGCAATCTAAGTGTCACATGATCTGTCACATGATCTCCGCATATATACACCTGTTCTGAAAGGCCCCAGAGTCTGCAAAAAAGAGACCAAAGATAACCCTGAAGGAGCTGCAAAGCTCCACAGCTGAGATTGGAGTATCTGTCCATAGGACCACTTTAAGCCGTACACTCCACAGCTGGGCTTTACGGAAGAGCGGACAGAAAAAAAGTCATTGCTTAAAGAAAGAAATAAGCAAACACTTTTGATGTTCGCCAAAAGCCATGTGGGAGACTCCCCAAACATGGAAGAAGGTACTCTGGTCAGATGAGACTAAAATTGAGGAAAACGTTATGTCTGGCGCAAACCCAACACCTCTCATCAGCCAGAGAACACCATCCCCACAGTGAAGCATGGTGGTGGCAGCATCATGCTGTAGGGATGTTTTTCATCGGCAGGGACTGGGAAACTGGTCAGAATTGAAGGAATGATGGATGTTGCTAAATACATGGAAATTCTTGAGGGAAACCTGTTTCAGTCTTCCAGAGATTTGAGACTGGGACGGAGGTTCACCTTCCAGCAGGACAATGACCCTAAGCATAGTGCTAAAGCAACACTCGAGTGGTTTAAGGGGAAGCATTGAAATGTCTTGGAATGGCCTAGTCAAAGGCCAGACCTCAATCCAATTGAGAATCTGTGGTATGACTTAAAGATTGCTGTACACCAGCGGAACCCATCCAACTTGAAGGAGCTGGAGCAGTTTTGCCTTGAAGAATGGGCAGAAATCCCAGTGGCTAGATGTGCCAAGCTTACAGAGACATACCCCAAGAGACTTGCAGCTGTAATTGCTGCAAAAGTTGGCTCTACAAAGTATTGACTTTGGGGGGGTGAATAGTTATGCATGCTCAAGTTTTCAGTTTTTTGTCTTATTTCTTGTTTGTTTCACAAGAAAAAAGATTTTGCATCTTCAAAGTGGTAGGCATGTTGTGTAAATCAAATGATACAAACCCCCCAAAAATCCATTTTAATTCCAGGTTGTAAGACAACACAATAGGAAAAATGCCAAGGGGGGTGAATGCTTTTGCAAGCCACTGTACAATCCATGTGTAGAAAGCTCTTAGAGTCTTACCCAGAAAGACTCACATCTGTAATCGCTGCCAAAGGTGATTCTAACATGTGCTGGTTCAGGGGGTTGAATACTTATCTAATCAAGATATATTAGTGTTATATGTTAGAATTATTCTTCCACTTTGACATTAGAGTATTCTATGTAGATTGTTGACAAAAAATGACAATTCAATCAGTTTTAATCCCACTTTGTAACACAACAAAATGTGGAAAAAGTCAAGGGGTGTGAATGCTTTCTGAAGGCACTGTATACAGTGTATAGTGCATTCTGAAAGTATTCAGACCCCTTGACTTTTTCCACATTTTGTTACGTTACAGCCTTATTCTAAAATGGATTAAATAATTTTTTTCCCCTCATCAAACTACACACAATAGCCCATTATGACAAAGCAAAAACAGTTTTTTAGATTTTTTTTGCAAATGTATCTAAAATAAAAAATGGAAATATTACATTTACGTAAGTATTCAGACCCTTTACTCAGTACTTTGTTGAAACACCTTTGGCAGCGATTACAGCCTTGAGTCTTCTTGGGTATGACGCTACAAGCTTGACACACCTGTATTTGGGGAGTTTTTCCCATTCTTCTCTGCAGATCCTTTCAAGCTCTGTCAGGTTGGATGGGGAGCGTTGCTGCACAGCTATTTTTTATTTATTTGATTAGGATCTCTTTTAGTCCTCATTTGGACTAATCTTCCAAGAGTCCTTAAACATTATAATACGATCACATTTTCACATATAACACACTGTTACAAACAAACATAATACACTGACATATTGACCAGATAAATACTCTAACAGTCTGAAAAGATAGATTAATTCCTTCATCTACCATAGTCCTGCACAATCTTCCAATTTATTATATTGAAATGGTTCTAAAGTATTGTTTGAATGTATGTATTGAAAGGTTTCTGGTTTGCTTAGATACATTATTTCATTTCTTTATTGCTCTAAATCGAAATGTTATTTTGCCTATTTCTCTTTTCTGTCTGGATAACGCGTAGATGGTGAACAATCTATTCCTAGTATTTACTGAATGTCTGTCTCTTACCAACTGAATACTGTTGTGAATGGAGTTTGGCCATTTTAAAATGGTGTACATTGTGAAATCAAATAAGCAATACGTATTTTTTTCAATTATTTTGTTAATTGATGACCAACCAAGAGCATTGTGCATGACTACAACATAAGAACCATATCTCCACCTTAAAACAATCCTTACTGCTTTGATCTGTGCAATCTGCAGCCTCCTAATTTCACTTGCTGATGCATTTCCCCAGACCACAGAACAGTAGTTCACCTGACTCCCAATTAATGCTTGGGTTGTTTGCTTAAGAATCTTTCCGGGTAAATATATAGCTCTCCTTCTGATCATGCATGCAGTTTACTTTATTTAAATTTTTACATAGATTAGTTATTTGAGACGACCATGATAAGTAGTT